GTCGCTTCACTGGCCCATGTTGGTATTATCATTGTGCTCTTCCCGGGTGAGGCAGATCAGTCGCGGCCACTGGACGGTCGCTCATGCCAGTTGCTGGCCACTCATGCTGGCTGCCGGCCACTCACGGTAACTTATGGCAGCCCACTGCAGCAGGGGCTGCAGCCTACACTGTCGCTGGCGACTCATGGCAGCCCAGCTCCAGGTCAAGCTGTTGTTCACCATCTTCGCTGTAGAGGGCGCAGAGTCACTGGCCTTCATGTGGGATATGAACTGGGGCCCTGCTGCTCAGAGCTGGCGTCCTAAGCCAGCTCTTAACCAACGCGCCACTCGGCCGGCCCATTGATTTTCATTTCCTTAACGGTGTGTTTTGAAGGACCAAAGTTTTAAATTAACCATTTTTTTTTCTCATACAGATTATGCTTTATGTGTCATATCTAAGAACGCTTTGCCTAGCTCAAGGTCATAAAAATTTTCTCCTATGTTTTCTTCAGCACTTTGATAATTTTAGCTCTTATATTTAGGTCTCTGATCCATTTTGAATTAACTTTTGAATTCATCTTTTTACATATGGGCAACAAATTACTTGTTACGGGTTTCTTCAGGTTTTCTATTTCTTCTTTTTTTTTTTGTATTTTAGCTTTCTAAGAATTTGTTCATTCATCTTAAGTTATCTAATTTGTGCCATAAAGTTAAATTCCTTTCTAAAATTTCTGTAGGGTCAATGGTGATACCCCTGCTTTCATTCCTGATTTTGGTAATTTGTATATCTCCTCCCTTTTGGTTAAAGGTTTGTTGATTGTGTGTTGATCTTCTCAAAGAATTAACTTTTGGTCTCACTGACTTTCTGTTGTTTTCTGTATTCTATTTCACTGATTTCCACTCTTATCTTTAATACCGCCTTACTACTGCTGGCTTTGTTTAGTTTGTTCTTCTTTCTCTAGTTCCTTGAGATGGCAGTTCCAGTTAATGTTTTTTTCTATACTCCACTCCAAATCAGGTCAGCCCCTCAGACAGGGAGGCTGCTGGTCTTCAGGGCTTTTCCTGTCCAGGTAGAGTTTCCTTCCCTTTAGGATTCAGGGTGGGGGTTGGAACAGCCTCAGGTGAGAGTGCCACAGACACCCATTATTCTTACCTGATGTTCAATAGTTTTTCATCAATTAACTGCTCCCCAATACAGTCAAATTCCATAACCATGAAATAACTGTTTCTGGCTATTTTGTCTAGTTTTGTCATTACCTTTTGGGGAGAGGATGTGTTGAGTGAGTCATTTCTGCCAAACCAAAGTCCTGTCTCTAAAGCTCCTCTTCTCTCCTCCACAGGAAATTTGGTTTCATCCTTTATCCCATCTAGTTCTCTCACAGAAGCTATGTCTCTGGGGGGCACGGGGGCAGAGCTGGTTTTAGAAAAATACTTATGTTGAAAAATACTACTCTGAGGTTATCGACTTTAAGCAAAAAAACAAAAAAATTACACTTTACTGATTTGTTCAACTTCCTCAATATTAATAAGGATGAATGGAAATGGTGCCTCACAGAATCTGCATTTACAGTAGAAACTCCAATGGTACACTTCATCATGCTTGTAAGAAGGGCAGAAAACCGGTTCCTACTCTTGCTGATGTGGCAGATGCTCCTCGCACTAACTGGCAGATGGGGACAGAAAACAGGGTGACAGCAGGAAAACGCCTAAGGACCAGTGTGGGGAGCGGGGCTCCGTGCGTACTCCTCACGCAGAGGGTTTTCAAGCTACGTGCTAATGTGATATGGGCATAGACTACGTGGTTTCTAGAGGCCCAGTTCTGTTCCTTGAAGGAAACTGGACCTGACCTCCCTGTCTCCCCTCTGACATGACAACCTGGAAGGAACAAGGGCTGAAACCCAGGAGACCTGAGTTCGAGGCTCTGGCTCTGCCACTTTCTCTCATTTAACCTTTTTGGGGCTTAGTTTCCTTATTTGTAAAATGCATGAAATAATCAAGTCTTCCTCACAAACTTGTTTGGAAGTGATGGAGTTCAATGATAGCCTTTATAAATTATTAATGTGCTATAAATGTAAGGCTTTACATTATGAACTAATGCCCTGTCTTGAAATCCCAGAATGCAATGACTAAGAAAGAGATTGTCTCCCCACTGCTGATCTCCCTTCTCCTTCTTCCCTACCTCAGGACACAAGAAGGCTGCTGCCCAGCCGACTATCCACCATACATGCCCCGTGTCAATTCCTTTACTGGTCCTTTCCCATGAGCCAGCGACAAAGGATGGAGGCAGATGCTCAGAGGAGAACACAGCTAGCTGTGCTTCAGCATTTGGCGATGGTAGACCAGACGGTCTCTCTAGCAAGACCCACACTTGTTTCCTCGTATACTGTGGAAAGGTGGTTCTTTCAGCTGAGCCAGGCTGGGAAGGGCAGCCCAGAGAGTCGGAGGAACATGGAGAGAACTGTCTCTGTTAAATGACTTCTCATGCCTAAACCTTAAATTCACACAAGTCATCACAGCCCCGCTGCCACTCCTGTGACATTATCAATGCACCACAACACAGCAAAGCTACACATTCACAAATGCAAACTTCTAAGAGCAAGAAAAAGCTCTTGTTTTCATTAGAAAACAGGACTTTAAAAGTTCGTTTTGTGTGGAATCAGGATTTGTTTTAATATCTTAATAAAATAGATTGCGGTAAGCTTTTAATCCTAGGATTTCAATATCTAAGGAAAAATAAAGCTATTCAATTCAATATATATCACAAATATATATCTTCTTTACGCCACGATAAAGGACATTCTGGGTCCTAGGCTGAATAAATAAGACAGCGGTCTAAGATATAACCTTTCCAGGTTTATGTTATGGGACAGAGTGAGGCTACCATGATTATAAACGGGAAGAGAGAGCAGCCCCCGACACCCACAGAGCCTTCATGACGGAGCCTCCTTCTCAGAGTGGACTTGGAACCTTGGGTTTCCTGGAAACATCCGGAAACAGAGCTAGTGGCAGGGCCTTGGTTGATGGCACCACCAGCCCGCCTCTAGTGCACCAGTCCCTCGGCCTTACCTCTGACCACTTTACATCCCACCTCCTACTCAGGTCATCCTGCCGGCCGAGGGAATGAAGACTTCGGGGACTCGGCCCCGGTTCCTCGTCACCGTCCAGCGCCCTGCCCCTCTGCACGGGCACCTCAGCCTGTCCTCCCGCACTGGCTGGGCACAGGTGGGAAGGGACCTGAGGCCAGGGGCAGATCTTTAGCGTTACCTATTTGCCTTTCCAGGTCGGCGGCTTCATCAGGCGTGGCTCGAGGAAGGACTCCAGGGTCACTGAAGCTGGTGCGAAGCAGGGTCCCCATCACAAAGAAGAACAAGATGCCACCAACCACGGGGATGGCAGGGGTGATTTTCACTGCTAGATACGGGCAGCTGCCAGCAGGTGGGGAAGGTAGGAGGGGAGGGGAAAAAGAAAGGAAAGACAATGTCAGTCATCAATAGTCAACGGCCCATGTTTTCTAAGAAGCCAATGGCTTCTTTAGAGAAGCAAAATTGATTTCCATTAAAGATTCATCCATGCTATGATGAATTCATCCATTCATTTACATTTGGGGTGGTCTACAATTCTCTCTTGTGGACAATTTAAGCCTCCCTTCCCAGTCACAACCCAGGCTCTCTGCTCCCACAGTGCTACCTGGGAAAGGCAAAAGAATGAAAACAAGCCTGCTTGTACAATCAATTAAGGTGTACAGAGCTTGTAGTCTTTGCACTGTAGACACAGCTCATGAATCTATGTAATCTTCTTAGCCTTCCTTGGAATTGCATAATATAAAAAGATACCAACTTAGAACTGTCTTCGTCAGAGCCAGCCATTCCTCTCTCGGTCAAACAACTTAGGGCACAAAATGCTGAGAACCACAAATCCACCCTCAAAACCCAAGAAACCATTTGTCAATATTTCAGAGCTAATCTATCCAAAAGAGGTTAATGAGCTATGGAAATGAACTAGCAGTTTCTCAAGAAGATGAAAGAGATTTGTTCAGCTGGAATATAACAGTCTCCTGCTCTTCCAGGAGGCATCTGAGCTACCATTGACGAACATGGCCCAACTCATGCCATGAAACCTCTTCACTGTCCTTATTCCCATGAGCTGACATGCAGATGAGATTGTGAGTCAGGGAGAGGCACCCTTGGGACAGACTAACGTCTATGCCAGCCGGGCTCTGGGGACCCAGGAGCCAGGGCAGCTTGAGGCACCACACACTGACCCACTGGCACTCCCATGACTCCACAGAGGCGGCAACAGGCAGAGTGGAAATTAGTTCAACGCTTGGAGCTAAGTGAAGGATGGATTCTGCAGTGACTGTGGTCAGTTTATTGTTATTACACTCTGTAACATCATGGGCGTCGAGGAACACAACATGGAATCACAGAATTATAACATCTAGAGTGCAAAGTGCCACCTCATCAGGTGATACTTTTCCAGATACTGAAGACAAAACAAAGAGAGAGAGCTGGAGAAGAAACGATTAGACCGGCACCCTGTTCCTGCACAGTGCTTGCATGGGAGGTGATAAGGTCCCTTATGGGCTGCCAAGGGGACATTGGCAACAGTCCAGGCCTAGAGGACCATGGGCCATGACCACCTTTGCTGAGGCCGGAAGCAAGCTAAAGAGCACTGGGTCTTCAAGAGGCATGTGACATGGACTTGTGGTCACTGTGAACTCAAGACCAAGGCCTTTCTGAATTCCCTGCTCTGTGGAAACCCAGAGACTTCCCAACAACTTTAAGAAGGTGGAGAAGTGACCCCAACCATGAGTAGGTGGGATTTCCTGACAGGCAGCTGGTCTCCAAAAGAATCATCTGATTTAAAGAGACAAAAATATATGACATTTCTAACATCTTTTTCATCTTTCTCATCTCTGCAGAAACTGAACAAGACAAACAACAACAAAAAAACAATATCATGTCACACTTCAGCTGAACTACCAGTTGTGACTTCTCTTTGCAGGATTCATGGGAGACCATAAAAAACGGTTGTCATTTCTGCATCAGTGTGACCCCAACCAAACTCCCAGGCACTTAGAACCTTTTTAACATCCTGAGAGATTCTCATAGGAAAGTGAATTTGGCAAAGAGAGCAAGAAGATATAAAGAACTTGTGGAAAAAGGGAACGTAAGAGTGTCTAACCTAAAGAAATGCCCTTTGTGAAAGTATTCATTAAATTATGAAAAGGATGTTTTAAATCCAACTGATTTTGCTCTGTATAAGAAAGCGTCATTGCTTTTCCTCAGGTGTGCTCAGGCAAATTGTAACATAATTTAGTGGGCTTTCAGATTTTCTAAAAAATTTAATTTTATGATTTTAGGTACTGAAAAGCTTCAAGTTAAATAAACAAACGTTTAAGAAACTGGAGACGCCATAATCTGGCAAACAGCACTTAGTGTATACTCCTTGATTTATAAAGGTAATATTTTTCTGCAGTGGAGATCTACTAGTCCTGACAATAAGAAACAAGATCACAGAGACAATACAATGTGGTTTAAGTTATTTGCACTTGAGTGTCTATTATTAATTTTTTCAGACCTGTCCAGGAAAAGAGGAAGAGGAAGCGTCTAGTTCAAAAGTGAACGCCTACTACCTGCCAGGGTTTCTTCTAACTGTGTGACTGGTTATCCAACATGGAAGAATCACGCATGAATCTGAAATATAACTTTTTCGGTCTCCCTTTTTAACCTGCTCCTGCTCCGGCCACTGCGTGAAAACTCAGGCGGGTCCCAGGACTTTCCTGGTCATGCGATGAAGGTAACAGGAAGTCCTTTAGTCACTTTAAGTAGTGAACAGTCTCATTTAGGTAACTAAAAGTGTAACAATCCCAGTTAATAGTGCAAGTTTCTGACTCAATTTGTAACCTGGTCCACTTTCCCAGCTGGCCAAGTACAGTTTCTGGCCTTCCACGGCTGGAAGGTAGGCAGGGGGACTGGAAGGTGCCAGTCTGAATAGCTGTGTCCCAGGTGGCTTTGCGCTCTCTGGGTCTACCAGATGTTTAAATCTGGCCCTCCTGAGTCTGTGAGTTCTTCAGAACCCCCATGGGAACCCAAGTGCACTGCCCCGTGGACACCACTGCCCTTCTCTCTTCTTATATAGAGAGCAGGCAGCCTTCCTCCTGCCCAGGTCCCATCCATCCATCTCACATTGCCCCCCCACCCCCATTCCCGTCCTCTCACGAACCTCACGGAGGACTGCACTGAATTCCTTGGCTCTGGGCTTCTGTCACCTGGGGGACAGCTGGAACAGCCACCTCAGCCCTCTGCCTGCCACAGGCTCCCTTTCAATCTGCCCTAACAATGCTGCCGGCTCTATGACACACGTCTCTGCTCAAGTCTTCCAGGACTCCCCTTTTCCTGCCAAATTAAGTTCAAGCTCCTTGTCTGGCATTCATATGCCATTGCATGTCCTGGTCTCAGGTCTCTCCTTCTCATCCTCCATCACGCTCCTCTTTTCACAAATAAGAAGACCGCTACCTTGACCTCTCAGCCTTCCCAAACAGGCCCCTACTCATCCAGACCTTGCAACTGTAAAGCCCCCATGCCCCATCTCAGCTCGTTAAAGCCTTCCCAGGTTTCAAGTTTCTATCGAGACTGCGTGGAAAGTTATTTTTGGCTCACCCCCAAGCAGAAGTGATGGCTTCTTTCTCTGAACCTCCGTAACATTTTTGTTTGCTCCTCCCTGTGGTACTTACGGCTGTTTGTGGACATGCCTCAGGAACCCACTGGATTGGAGTCCTGCAGGGTGAGACTGGGCACTGTCTATCTTTGTGCCCTTCACAGCACCTAGCACGATGCGTCATACATGGGAGGTCTGCGAGGAATACTTGTTGAGTAACTGCATGAATGGGACCCATTTTACTCTGAATTTTACTCTAACACAGAAAAGAGCAGGAAAGTAAAATCAGCCACACCCTCAATAATGGACCTTGTGTCTAAAACTTGCTTCTCTGTCTTCTAAGCTTGCTAGTTCCTGTGACTTCCTCTCCACAGGTGCTAAGGACGTGCCCTAAGGAGGCTTCCCCAGCTCCGAGGAGTGGGTTCTCCTTAGTTCACGGAGTTGCCTGTACAATGCAAACACGTTCCATAAGCATTGACTAGAATCTGGAGCCCCTCCATGCTCTAAAGTTCTAGCAGATGAAACGCCTTATGTTGGTACCACTTTGTACAATACGAGGTGCTTTGTGATGGTCCCGTGTCCTACCAGCCTGTGTGTGACAAAGAACCACATTAGTATCTCTTTGAAATTTTAAACAACACTCTTTATAAAAGCAGCAGAATTTGCGCCCCCTAAGCACACTATGAGATCAGTGCTTCACAGGGCTGTTGCTCAGAAAAAGCAGAGCATCCACAGTCCTTCTGGTAAAGACAAGGCAGTAAGCAGACCCTGCCCGCGACAGATCACGAGACCCCTGGAAGGAGGCCAGACTAGGGTCAAATCTCAGCCAAGGCACAGCAACCGGCAGGGCTTCATAGCTCTCCTCGAGAAGCAAAAAAAGAAAAAATTCTTAGCCCGAGTTCAGACAACTTGAAAATGGCTCCTTCACATTTCTGAGCAACTGCGGCTGGGATCTCCAATTCCGAGTGCCATCTGTGATGAGGAAGACTCCTTCCCCGGAGGGTCTGGATTTGATACAAGATGATGATGCAGCTGCCAAAGCTGTAAACACCAAATGGAGTCCTCTTTCTGTCTGAAGCATCGTGACCTAAATACAGCCCAGGGCCATGTGGAAAACAGGCTTGGCGGGTCTGAGTCTTCATGAAGCTCGATGGGAAAGTGACAGGAGGAAAGAAATAAGAATCTGAAAGCATGCATTTTTGTAACAGAAAAGAAATGAACTATTTCAGCACCAGACAAAACAAATGCTAACTTGATGAAGACTTTACAACGTTTCACACACATCGGCGTGAGCTGTTGGACTTTCGATATGATGACTGATTGCCTATCGCAAACTGTTAACTCACTGTACATTAGTGGTCAAGAAAGGTTCTTCCAGGTAATAGGTAGAAAATGTAGCACTTCCAAAGAGGAGAAGGAGAATTTTCAGTTCTAATAGCAATCTTCTCAAACCTTTAGTAAAAGTAATTATTTGTGTTTTGATTTTTACACATGAAGGGTAGAACTGTTTTCTGGGTGCTATATTATCTGAGACCATGCAATTAGTGTGTTTTGCCATTAATTATGACAAAATTAGTTTACCATCAAACAGATACTGACGCCCCAGAACCAAGACTGTCATGAATTGTGCATTCATTTTTAGACACTGACTGGCTCACATGTTGTAATTTGACATAAAACCGATTCCTTTGACAAAAATTCCTGGGACTAAATTAATTTCTTAAACATTTCAGATAGGAAACCTGGATTTCATTATTGGGTAGCT